AATCAGGATTAGGAGAGGAAAGAGGAATATGTTTTGAAACACTTAAGGTACAGAATCTGTGAATTCCTTGGCTCTGGAGTTTTGAAGGCAGTGGAGGTAAGTGTTAGGAACTACGGAGTGATGTTAGAAGAAAGGAGATGTAGACTTGACCACAAGAAGCATTTGGAGGACAGATAAAGCTCCTAGAATGGAGTCGATTTCCAAGAAGCAGCAGGTGATGCTGACAATTACTACAGAAGCCCCGAGTGAGCTCGATGTGAGGCACATAGCGGTGGTACCCAGATATGTGAAGGTACCCCAAAGGTATCCAGACGGGAGGAGGTGAGGGCACCACCAGGGATTCATTTTCTTCTTCCTCCACTGAGCTGCATCTTGACAGAGCACCAAGCAGATGAAAATTTTAAACACTTAATGAATCTGGGGCAGAGACAGCTGCCAAGTGGAGTTTCTAACCAGCCTGAGACAACTAGTGTAGCCCCAGTAAGTCGATATAATTTTAGCCACATCAAAGCTTTGTGATGTCTGAACACATGTGTTTTAATCACAGGTCTATGAGCAATTTCTGTGGGAGTTGTGAAATAAAATAGACTAATGGATCCCTGTTAAAATGTGTATGTGGAGGGATCTTTGCGGAGAGGACTGAGCACACCTGGGTGAGTATTTTAGCACTAACAGTTTCTGCCCATCTTACCACTCATCCTCACTTCTCACAGGAAAAACACAGTGATGCCCCACTTCCTGTGCCCCGTGAGCAGTGTGGGATGGTGCTTCTCAGCGCTCAGAGACCCTGGCATGCTGGAGACCTGTGATTCTTCAGCTCATTTGGTTAGTGGGAGGCTGAATACCTGGAATTCTGGGGCTGTTTCTATCAACACTTTCTTTCTGAGGCATCTGATGTTACAGGATTTTCTTCATTAGAAGAAAAATAGCCTTAATGAAATTTTTAAAAGAGAATACACTGGGAAAGGGCCTGTGTATTGTGCAGTTCCATAGGGTGCCACTTTTTTTTTATTTACGTTGGTAGCTGTCTTTGACTTGAGCTGTGTGTAACCTGAAAGACCATGGAACCACTTTTTACAGTACGCTCATTAGTAGTGCCTGTCAGTTTTTGAGATAAAAAGAGGCACGGTTATCACTGCATTTCATCTTTTTGTTGCTCTTTATGGAGGTTGGGCTGCCCAAGGCCTCAGGATTCCACCTTCCCTATTCTTCGCTCGCCACTCTTTCCTCACTCATTTTTTAAGTTTTTCTTTCACATGTGCTGTTCCCGCTTTCTGAATTCTCCTTCCTTATTTCTAAATAATCAGTGGAAATATAACTCCTCAGGTTGCCTTTCCTGCAATGCCTGACTTCCTGTCTGTGCTGTCACACTGGTGTGGCCTTGCCTTGGTCATTGCTCTTGGGACACAGCCACGGAGCCTCAGTCCAGCCTTTGCATCCTCAGCTGAGTCCTCAGCCACCTCCTGCCCAGAGAGACCCAGCATGGGCTCACTGTGTTTGCATCTGTGTAGACTGTAGGCTTGTTTTGATCAGGTCTGTGTCCTGCTGTCAATCAGGGCTCCTTGTCGGAGGGGAGATCATGAATTCTTGCCTATGGAAGTGTAGTGCAAGCACAATTTTCTTAACCCTATCATAGACCTCACTTTCAACACTTCTATGTTTGCAGTACTAACTAGCAACAGGTAGCTATTAAAATTAAACTTAGTTTCAACTAAATGGAATATACTTGATTGTAGCCAAAAGGCGAAGAAGTGATAAAATAAAACCTCCCATTCCTCAGGTCCTCACTAGTGATGTGTGTCTGGTGGCTGTGTCACTGGATGACACAGCTGAGGAGCATCTCCTTCTTTGCAGAAAGTTCTAGAGTTTAGTGCTGCTCTAAGCCTTTGAGATTCTTATGAGAAAAAAACAACCTTCCAGTCTCCTTTCTCCAGATTATCTTTCAGGCCACGCAGCAAGTGCATCATCAGCTTTTTTTTTTTTTTTTTTTTTTTTTTTTTTTTTTTTAAAGCTGAATCCCAAACCTTCTAAGTCAGAGTTACTGTGTCAGAACCTGCCTTGGCAAAAAGGCCCCTGAGGATTCGCATGCAAAGGTTTCATGCACTGGAAAGAAGGGAGTTCCTTCCTTGAAGATTTCTGATCTCAGTCCCCTCCTCTGGGTATTCCCAAGGTTTTCAACTTTGCTTGCACATTCGAAGCCTTGGAGGCGCCTTAAAAAGAATTATGATTTGCAATTAAAATAATAAATAAGCACATTAATCAATTAGTTAAATAATTTAAAAGTCTAAAAAGTAAAATATGTAGACAACTAAAGCAAAAATCTCAAACCTAAATCTGTGGGTATCTGAGTCTGAGCACTGGGAGTGGGTAAGGTAGCCAGCCTGGAGCGCGTGCTGGGCCTGAGCATTGGGAAGGCTCCCTTGGAGATGGTAACATGTAGCACCTCTTTAGAAGCAGGGCAAGGAAGCCCGCGGAAGGACAGCGATGTATGCAGATTTGTAACTGCAGGCCAACTTCTCTCCTTGACTTGCGTCCTGTGCTCATTCTGCTGGGCTGTCCAGCCTCCTCAATTAGCGAAGTCTAGAGAAGAACTGAGAACTCACTGGATTTTCCCCTTTTCTTTTCTCTTTCTCTGCTTGAAACAATCACTGTGATATCCCCTAGTGGTGCTAACACTGGGGCTGCACCGTAATTGCTTGTTAATGTCAGATTGGTGGCTGGTGGATTTGCCATGGCAGAGGTCTGCTTTGAACGGCCACTGCTGGGAGCTCTGGGCTTGTGACTCTCCTGGTGGAGATCAATACTCCATTATGGAAGCAGCTGGCTGGCAGACAACACGGATTTCACTTTTGCCTTTAGGCACACCCGCTCTGCAAAGTGCGCAAGCCGAAGGGGTTGAGGGCTGCGGATGAGGGAGCTGCTAATGAACCCACCGGAGCCCCTGGACTGCGGCAGGCCTGTGCGGGGCAGGGCGGCAGTGCCCGCCTCCTTCCCGCATGCTGAGAGAGCCCGCAGGCCAGGCAGACAGGAGGCAGACCGTGTACTGCAGGACCCTGGGTCCATTCCACCCTTCACTGGGCTCAGCCTTGGACTTGGCCAGCAGGAAACTGCTGGGAAGCCAAAAAAAGAGTTCATTGTCTCTCTGACTCTGTCTCCCTCCCACCACATCTCTCCCTCTCCGCCTCTCCCTGAGTTTCCCTCAATGCAGGTAAAAGGACACAAGGGCAGAAAAGCATCAAGTGTAAAAATGCTAGTGCTAAGAACCTGTAACCTACGCACAGCGAGCACCCCCAATGTGCTGGGAAGCTTGCTAAGCTAGCTCACTCAGGTTCTCATTTAATTCTCCCGACATGGTAAAATCGGGACTAGATTTTACAGACAAGAACACGCAGACTCGGAGAGTTTAGTGACGTGTGCAAGATCGCACACCTGCGAACAGCAGAGCTGCAATTTGAGCAGCTCGGCGGTGCTTTGCTCATGATGGTCACGTGCATGTGTCTCGCAGAGCGCGTGTGAGGCTCTCAGAACAGGGTTCACACAGGAGAAGAGACCGTAGAGGACAGCGTGGGGACACTGGGGTGACCAGAGGAAGAAAACAGAATGAAATACACTTTGGCTGTGAAAGGGTCGTGGCTCGAGCCAAGAATCTGATCAAATAACTGATTTAATTCAACATCTTTGACAATGGTTTAAAAGATTAATGAAATATCTTAAGAAAAAAATTATTACCAAATAAACATTGTTTTGACAAATTGCTTGCCACATATGGTTAAGTTTCTTTTTCCCTAAGAGGTGCTGTCAGACTTTTAATTGTACAAATATAAGCTAATTTCTCTCTTTTCCCTTTCTCTTCCGTTCCCATCTGGAAAACTGGTCCTCAGTCCATGAGGTTTTTAATCCCAAAGTATGCTCTATTCTGTTTCCTTTCTCTTTCTATTGCCAATGGCTTAGGTCAGGGCCATGGAGTTACTTTTTAAATATTAGGGCTTGGATCCAGAATCTTTGCAATGAGCTATAATCTCGGTCCTCCTAAATTTTTTTTTGGGGGGGGGCACTGCAGGAAATGGGACCTCTTTAAGTGGCTGAGTTGCCCAGGCTAGGCTTCAACTTGTGTTCCTCCTGCTTCAGCTTCGCCCAGAGTTTTGGGCTTACAGCTCTGTGACCCCACATCTGGCTACAAAAACATTGAATCTCTCAGCAGCCAGTGGTACGCTTCACTAAGTCATCTCCTACCGTTCACTAAGTGTCCTTCTAGAACACAGAGCACTTATGACACAGTTTCCAAACTCTCTTTCCAGAGTGCAGGACAAGTTTCTGTATCTCTCAAGGCCCTGTCTAGGGACCACAGCCATCCTAGAAAAATGCTGACAAATTTCAGTCAACAAAAACATGGAACACTTTACTCCTGCCATATCCAGGGAGCTTCCTAGGATGGTGGGCAGAATGCAGCCATTGCGGAAGATGTTACAAAGCTCTGATACCACGCAAGGTTCCATACACAGGGCCGTGAGGAGGAACCGCTGCTAGTATTTCCAGTACCACTGGAGAACGCTGGGTTGTTCTGCAGGTAAAGCTGATATCATCTGCCGGGAGGAGTCAGACTCTCGTGGTCACTTAAGGTGGGTGGATATTGCACTTTAATATCATTGTGTGGTGGAAGGTATCACACTGTATCCGCCCATTTCATTGATGAAAAAACTGATGTTAAGAAAGGATACATAACTTGTGGCTTTGTGACCACCCAACTTCTAGCTACCTCAAATGAGATTTGATGTTCGCACAGAGATGGAAAGATGCCAAGGGATGTGAAGGTGGGAATTTAACTTCGGTACGATGCCCCTCCCCTTCAGATGCATGGCTTGAGTGCCCCTCTGTGTGGCTGGTACCTGTTTTCTTCACATCATTTTTATAACATGTGGATTCCAGGTCAAGTGCAGGACTGCTTGCTGGGTTACCAAGCACAGGACAAGTTTATCCTCAGTTAGATCTTTATCTTTCAGCTTTGCACAGGTGTCTGCCATTGTGCGGGAAAATTCCTGGTGGAGCATGGATGTCACCTTGTACCATCCAGTCAGAACTAACATCTGAAGTCACCTGAAGTTCAGCAGATTCGGAGAAGGCTGATTTCATGAGGTGGGGAGATCAGAGAAAGCAGGTTTTCTCTTGTGCCAAGAAGGGAAAGCATTTTCTTTACAGCTTCCGGCTCTGGTGTAGCTCTTCCTTCCCTATAAAAGGATGCCTTATATTTGCCAGGTTGGGTGTTGGGGCACAGAGATAAAAGTGGTTGTTTTCATGCCTTTGTGGAGCTCGCCAGTGGTCCAATGGGAACCGCACAAACTAGTGATGGCAGCACACTGTAATGAGCGGGTGTGACCAGCCTTGGGAGAGGAGAGCGAGCCAGAAGCACGAAGGAGGGCAACGCGAGCTACATCTGTCCTCTGAGCAGGGCGCAGCAGTCTCTGCACTGCACATGTGCTTGTGGAGTTTTCCAGCACTGCTGGAGGGACACCACATTTTTCTTTGATGCACAGAGAAGTAAAGAAATCTTCCCGAGTCCCTGGGCTAGGATTAAGAGTCTTTTTCAAGTTGCATCAGCAGGGTTCCAAGGCTCTTTTCACCTACCCTTGCCAGAGGTCAGAGATTGCACCTGTTCACGTGAGGCCTGGGCTCTTGAGGCCAAGGTGGGGTGTGCCCATCTGATGGGAGTGATGGGTTCTCCAGATGCAGGAAGTGCAGGCGACGAGCAGTTAAAGAGTCCTGATAGCAAGGAGCCTTTGGAAAATGATAAGTCCTCCTCTGGGCCACAGAGGGCAAAGCAAGAAAGACAAGAGAAAGGACAGAAACTTATACTACTGTGCTAGGGCTTCACAAATAGAAAGGTGTCATGAATGGGGCAGACCTGTGAAGCAGAGAGGTGGCTTGATAGTAGTGGAGCACCCCAGATTGGGTCTCTAGACTGCACGCTTGTTTCTGTGTCTGCATCACAGACTTCTGTGAACCCAGAGCTGTTACTTAACTTGTTTGCAGTTCAGTTTCCTTATTTGTTAATTAGGGGCAATTTTCAGTCATATGCCCAGAGCCTAGGTTTGAAGCAATAACACAGATTCAGACCTGCCTTGCAAACTTGAGGGTACCGGGCAGTCTTAGTTGCTGCAGATTTTGCATGAACCATGGCTCATGGAGTTGAGGAGTAATTTTACTGTCAGCTGCATTTTCACCAGGAAAGCATTGGCAATGGTCTCTGTGTTTCATCAGTTCCTTTTGTGTTTCGCAAAGTTTCTTTTGTTTCTCAAGCTGGTTGTCAGCTGCCTTGTTCATTTCTTGAAGGAAAGCCAGCCCAGGAAGCCATACTGTGTGGCTGTCACTGGAAACTGTGTGTCTCCTTTTGTCCCAGGAGGGCAGTGTGTCTCTGATGCACAGATAAGGACCCTGAGACTCCAAGATGAAGTAATGTATCCAAAGTCAACTTGTAAGTGAATTCTAGAACCAGGTGCCAGCCTCAGCCCGCTGGTGCTGAGGTCTGCTGGGTTCCCACTGCCTTCTACCGCCTGAAGGAAACGTTGTAGAGCCTTTGGGTGGGGCCCTCAGTTAACTTCAAGCCAGGGTTGAGGAGGAAGAGAGTGCAGGACGGTGAGTGTGTCCTGGCAGAGACAGCTGTGGCTTTTAGCAGCTGGCTACTGCTGGGTAGCCAGTTAACAATTTACAGTGAGACAGTCTCCTTGGCTCCTGATAACAGCAGGAGAGCCAGTCAGGAATGAGGAACCCGGAAGTCACTGGGAGAAAATTCTGCCATTTAGACTGTTTCCTGGAATACTGTAGTCATATAAGGCAGCTCTGATAGAGTTTTCAGGTGTGTGAGTGTGTGTCTGTGTGTGCCCAGTTTTAAAAGAAGCCTTATTCAAGAACATCAGACTTGGTTCTTATGCAGGAAATGCCTCAGCCTTCTGAGCGGGTTGCTCCTTGCAGCCTTCAAGGGCAGCATCTGCACCTGTCCAGGGAGATGCCCTGTCAAGAGACATCAGCGTCATCCAACTTGGTGCTGCCCGTGGTTCTTCATGGAGTGGAAAGGAGAAAGCTGAACACCTCCAGGATATCTCAGGAATGGCATTCAGAAAGCCACAGCTGTCCTGACCCAGCCCAGAACCTGACAAGCCCTTATGCACATGTGATTTATCTCAGCCGTCTCTGTCAGTGCCACATCTGAGGATAAAGGCTCAAACCCTAACAAAGTTAATGAAGGGTCATCATGTCCATGAAATTGAGATGCTAGACTAGGCCATTTGTAATGGTTAGAAAACGCCCTTCTAAGTCTTGGCTAATTCTTTGGCTTCTCGGCATCTCCTGGAGAAGGCTATCATCATAGAGACCTCAGAGAGGTGACACCTTTTAGAGGTTCAGGAACCACATGAAGGTTGATGATAGATGTTTTCCTCATGGGCGATAATGGCTCCTTAGCCTAATAACTGCCCAATTCATACCATATTAAGGGCTTAATAAGAATTGAAATTGTGCTGCTGGTAGCTTGAAAAGCTGATGCAAACTCAAGAGCTCTTTAGAAAACCTAATATCCCTGGGAAAACAGATGGTATAAAATTGTAAACAAAGCACAACTTGCCAACACATTGATAAGGACCAAACTGGTACAACAGCCTGCTGGAAGGAGCGCTGGCTCCTGGTCCTGACACTTGTTCGTCTTGGGGGTGGGTAGGGAGTCGGGGAGAGTAAGTACCTTCCTGTCAGGACTTGTGGAAGAGCCTCTGTAGGGCATGCCAAGCCCTTCCCTCCGTAACTATTTGACTCTTCCTGCAGGCTCAAACATATTACCTGGGCGTTGTGAAACTAGCACAGTTGAGGGACAAAGAACACATTGTTAAACTGCAGAGTTGCACAGTTATTGCCTGGAGCGCCAGGTTAAAGGAAGCTGAATTGTGGGGTTGGCTGGCACTGTCCCTTACACAACCCAGGCGAAGGCCTGATCCTGAGAAACTAGCTGGGTTCCTGCCCTTTGATTCAGAGAAAGCAGCCTTCCAGCTGGGGCAGACTCCCTCCCCCACAGAAAATAAAATAAAGTCAATAGCACATAAAAATTCTTTGTACTTTTCTCAGTGCCTTTCATCTGCTAAGCTCAAAGGACGATGAGGGTATAAACTCCGGCTACGCCCCTTAGTGGGAGGGGGACAGTTTGTACATCCCCTGTTTTATGGATGGGACCTGAGATATGGGGAGGTTAAACAATTTGCCTAGGGTCACCCAATTGGTTAGGGGTGGGGCGGGGAGGAGAAATCCGGTTTTCTGACTCTTAGTCTAATGCCCTCTGCAGGGTACACAGCAATGCACAGCTGCTAACAATGTAAGTTGAACCTGGAAACAGAACCACAGGTTGAGAGCAAACAAAACATTTAAAATAATTTTGTATGTGTTTTCATTTCCTAGAAGAGGAGGGTGAGACTAAAGAAGCTGGGGTGATCATCCAAGGTCAAATATGCAGTAAGTAACACGGAAATCTTGAATGTTGGCCCTTGGTTAAGGTGGGTTTGTACTTCATCCTGGGAATCCTCAACACCACTGCCTTCTGTATGTGCACATCTTCACAAACAAGCGTATTTAACAATTTAATCAGTGTCAAGAAAGGTTTCATGATGGTTTGATAGTCTCATACTAGCTTTTCTGTTTGCTAGCTCTGTGTTTGGTGTTTACAATTCAGTTCACATTGCAAAGCAAAAGGGACTTGCATGGGCTCACCTCTGCACCCCTCCTGTCTCTGTCCTCTGAGCCCACATGTGGCCCTCGAATCAAGCATCATTTCCTGCCCTATGACTGCCTCATCTTCCCTTTTGCTGTTCAACCTTGACGGGCCGTGCTTCTACAGTCCCTTGTAACTCTGCCACAGTTCCTGAAAGTTTTGGCCACCATCTGTGACATACCTGTCTTTTTGTCATCAGCCTTTTATAAGAACTGCATCATTATAGCAATTTTGAGTAGTGAATTTAAATGCTTTTTAACAAACAAAGAAAGGCAATAGCGAAATACTTTTGCTGGGTTGTCATTTCTGTAAGCGCTTACAAAGACAAGCCTTGGAAACGATACTTCTGTGTTCTCTTTTGAAGGCATGTTATTTTTTCACATCTATCTTTCTCGTTCTCTTCCACAGGGGCTGGGATGAGGATAATTATTTAAGCCATTGTGGTTCTCCGGAAAGGAAATGAATCAGAATCCACTTTTTGACTCTACTGGTGTTGAACCATGCGAGCTTTTGGCTGCAATGCCTTCTGTGTGCACACATGTAGGTGACTCTGTGTTCTGCAATCCAAAAATTCTTGTTAGGCAAATGTATCTTTGCTTTCTTAAAAGTAGGTAAGGCAATGATTATAATCAGTGATGGGGAGCAATGTCTCGTTTACTTGGAAGGATTTTTCCAAACTTCCTGTCTATAAGGTGCTGACATGATCTCTGAATTCTTCTCTAGTTGAGAGTCACAGTGAAGAGGTGCACCTATGGAATCACTGGTGGTTGAGAAAAGAGGACTCACTCATTCACAAGCTTCAAGTTGAACGTATCCTAAGAAAAAATGCATTCAGGACACTTAATCTACAGCACACACTTGGTCTAGTTCACTTTAGGTGTGTGTTAGTCTAGAGCTGAGCAAAGCCATCTCACACGAAGTCTGACTTGTAAATAAACTGTGGAATATCATGTAGTTTGTTGATTATTGTACTAAATGTGAAAAACAGAATGGTTGCAAGAGAAAGCATTCACACCATTAGAACTCTAAAAATACCCTAAGTGGGTCACGTTAAGCTGTAGACCATCTGCATACAGACTTGCTCTGATTTCACATTCAGCATGACAGTTCTGGACATGGGTGAACGTGTCGGTGGTGGCTCTGAAGGGACGCAGGCTGACAGACTGCCAGGTTTAACACTAGCTTTTAAGGTTACCATGGTGATCTTCACCCAGCCAGCCCTGAAAAGAAAGAGCTTAATGAAACACATATTGGAGATGGTTATGGGATATACTGAAGTCATGGATCTGCTGACCTGAAAGTCACATGACTGCACCTCAGCTGCAAAGGAGGCTGGGAAGTACAATTCAGCTCTCTGCCCAGGAAGAGAATACATTTGTTCTGAACTCGGATCACTGAAATAATCTTGATATAAAACCTCTTTCATTTCACTCACTCATTCATCTATTCATTTACTGGTGAATTTAACTATTGTTGAAAGACATCTGATTGGCTAAGCATGGTAGTTACTGGACAAAGCACCTACTTTTGGGGACTAAGAAACATATAATTCTAATAGTTACACAACTCAATGGGTACTCAGTGCATTTCTGTAAGTGTGCATTTAGGAAAAATAAAGATAGATAGTACTATGATCGCTTTTGACAGAGCCTTGAGATTTAGCCTGGTGGATCTGGGATAATTTCTTTGAAGATATGTTTTCTGAGCAGAGAGCTAAAGGGGGAATAAAAGTTGAACAATCTGCTGAGGGATGAGATCCAGGAGAGAAGCTTTTATTGCCAACCTCAAATAAATCTTGTCAATAGACAAGGCAAATTCTATGCTAAGGAAAGGGAGAGAGACAAGCACATAATTTAGTTTAGTTCAGCAATTAGTTAAAGTCTTGGGTAAAACTAATTGCCTGACTTTGCTCAACTTTGGATTTGGCCGTGCCCAGTGGTGAGGTCCCCCAGTTATAGGCAGTGGGCCTGGGCTGCACGTGGGCCGACCATGTAAGCATGATGTCAAAGGAAGCCCTGAGCCAGAGGAGTTCCCGCAGTGGCTCTGGTGATGACTCTCACTGGAGGACGGTCTTGGGTCTCCCGCTTCATCAGGTACACAGCTACTGTTCTGTGCCTGAACTGACTTAGAGTCCTCACTCTGCTCTTCTGATAACCTTGGTGCTGCCATGCTGATGGTGCTCCATTTGGGTCAATATTCCTTGAATGTGTGTCTTAACATGTCAGGACCACATCCTCCAATAACAGCCTATAGGAAGTCTGGCACATACAGGGGAAAACAGGCATGGGAAAAGAGGGAGGTGAACAAAGCCATTTATTTGTAAGATAATGAGCAGGTTGGACATTTTTCTTTTGGAAGTTCCTGGATTCCCAGGACTAACACCCCACAGGTAGCGGAGCCCTGTGCACTGTTTATGAAGAGCTAGGCTTCTCATCTCAACTGTAATTTCATGTACATATTTTAAAGCATTGTCCTGCCAAGAAAGATATTAATGAGATATTGCACCATTTCTCCTTTTATCGCTTATGTAGAAATTCTGGGTCCAAATGAGATTCCTTGGGGCTTAAGATGTAGGCTAGAGAAGAATTATCCACATAAGCTGTTTCTTTGGCACAAGTTCTATGGTAGGAGTGAAGTGTGTGTGAACAGCACACTTGACCAAGCTTCCTTTTCTATAGGTGTAACTTAAAACAGTGACATATTAGTGACTCATTTGGCATCTTCTGGCCATAGTCTCTCCCTCTGTAAACTGGGAGTGAGTTTATAAGTGAAATTTTTGAAGAGTTGATGACCTAGATCAAAGAAGAAGGCGCTGTCTCGCTGTCAAGTGTGGGGCAGATGTGTCATGGTGCTGGTCATGCAGGCTGGGGTCAGAGGTGTGCCCAGGCTTCTACAACACTGGCATTTAGTGCCTGTCTGTCACTTTGGTAGTGACCTCAGATGATCTTGACTAGTTAATTTCTACCCTAACCAGTTTTACTCACTTATTATTTCTTTAAACTCACTCTAACCAATGCAGTAATATCAGTGAAAAGACTGGTTTGAAAAGCAAGACATTTAATAATTGTATGAGTAGAAAATATCACTTTTATAACTTAAAATATTTATCTCTATCCTATGGCAAATAGACTCCTATAGTATAACAGCTACTCTTCAGGAAATATGGTGTTAATAGCACCAGCAATATAGCTTCTATTTGATAGTGGGAGTGATTTTTCCCCATGATGGTAGATAAGTTTGAGCAGAGCATTTGAGAGCTAAGGCACCTCTGTGGTTTCGATTTACTTTTTGTTGTCCTCTCCTGTCCCCTCCACTCCCTTCTCCTCCTCCCCTTCCCTTCTCTTCCCTTTCTTTCCCTTCACTGACCTTTACTCTTTTCCTTCTTTCTCCACTGATTTCCTAACGGCTGCCCAGGACTGTGAGGTAAGGGACTCTGCCACAGGGCCTGGATAGCACTGCTTTTGTAACCTCTGTAGCTTGGTTATAAGATTGTTTCCTTGTCTGCTTCTTGAGGGTGTGGACTGCACTTGGTACCCTCAGAAACTGCCAGTGTTAGGGGTAAGGCGTGGCTTCACCAAGTGACTTGATTGCACCCACATTGTATTGGGTGCAACCAATCCTCCATCTGCTGGACTCCGTAAATGGAATGCTTTGCAGCCTAGAGCTGGTGATGGCTAGGATCAGGCCCACACCATTTCCAGTGGGCACACAAATGGGTAAAGAGTCACCTTTCACTGAGTCTGTAGTGGGCTCCTGAAGGAAGCATGAACTTCATTTCGGAGAATGAAGAGAAAAAAGGAGGACATTCAGGGGAAGAGACGGAAGGCGGGCTTTAAAAGGGTAGGATGAGGACAAGGGCGGTGGAAATCTTGCTCTAGAAGCTAAATAAGTTGAGCAGCAAATAACAGCAGTAGTGGAAGAAATGTTAGGAATAAGTAGCTCTTGGGGTGCACTAGTCATTCAATGTGAACCCCTCCCTTAATCCTCGCACCTGCCTTGTGAGGCGTTATTGGAGTCTCCACATTAGGGCTGAAGGGCAGGAGGGATGCAGGATTTTCTGGACAGCACGGTGAGGTCGATAAGTGCTTACAGACATCGTGACTCTAGCATCTGTCTTTTCAAGATCTGTGTTCTCCCGGGTCAGAAAGTGAAACTGGAAGGATAAAAGAGCGGTGTGTAAAGAAGGAAGCCTCTAGTGGTGGTGCATCCTCAGAGAGGCTGTGGTAACACCTTTTGCAATGGGAAAGACCATTCCAATGTCCCTTGATAGGTAGCCACTCACTCGTCCCCTCCTCAGATTGCCTGGGAATGAATGGCAAAGTGGCGTCTTTGGGAGATGGGGCAAGCAGGTGTCCTTCAACAAACATGTACTTCCTGTGTTCCAGACAGAGTTAAGCATCCAGAAAAGAATGTAAAGATCCCTTCAAGCTAGCACCACCTCTGCCTTGAGAAGGAAACTGATAAGCAGTGGGTGTACTACCTGATTCAAGTATTGCCAGTCTGTGAAAATCTGGTAGGAAGTTGGAGAGAGATTTCTTGGGACGTGTTTCCATGTTTGTGTTCGCAAGGCTGCAGAGAGGAGAGACCCAGGAAACCTGATCTTGAAGGATGAGTGTGTGTTTTATGGAGGAGAGAAAGACGCTGTGTAAACAGAAAATGTGAGAGGAAGCAGCTTTGTAAGAGGACAGGAAGTGATTATAGATGAGGCGTTTAGCTTAACTGTGCCCAGAATAGTGGCTGGCATATAGCGGGTGTTTCAGGTCCAAGAATGAATGAATAAATTGATAAAAGATTGGCAGCAGTGGGGGTCCTTAAGGGCGGTTTCTGAAGGTCCTGGAATGCACAGCCACAGAAGGTGGTCTTTCTCTTACAGGCAATGAGGGCCCTATCATGTTTTTTGAATAAGGAAAAAATGCAGAGGGGTTTATGAAGTAGAAACGTGCTCTTTGCCTCTGTGTGGAGGTTGGGACAGAGGTGATACACTTTACAATGGTCTGGGTGTGTGAGAGACAGAGGACCCAAAAGGAGGAAAGGTGTGAGCGATGCTTCGGGGGTGACTGTGAAGCAGAATCCCAAGGGAAGCTGGGAACATGCAGGGCCAGGGAGGTCAGGAAGCATAAGCAGCGTGTGACCTCATTAGGCGGTAGTTGTAGGACATGGCCCACAGTGTTTGACATCTGACCCAGTGTCTTGCAGGGATCCCCATGGGAAATGAAATGCAGACGACTTTCTACCCTGCCATGTGTCAGCACTTACTTACAAACAGGAAAGCTTAATTGGAGGTGGAGATTTAGAAAAGAGGCAGTGTCCGTGTTTAAGAAATACCAAGAGGGTTTGTGCTTGTGGGTTTGTGTGTTTAGGGTTGGAACACTTAAGAAATGTGTTTTGGCAGAAGGAGCGGGACAAGGAGTCTGGGGAAATAAAGTGCTCCTCTGCGGAGCTCGCTCAGTGCTGGGTTGTTCATGGGAAAGTGACACCCTACAGGGCTCCCCTCTCCCATGGCTCAACCCTCCTGTTGGGTGGTGGTGGGGGGGGAGTTTTAGGATCAGAAGTATTGCTGTCAATCAACTATGGTCTATTGCTGTGCTGGTTTTACCATCCCCATGGGTCCTTCTTAAACTGGCGGCTACACACTGCATGTGGATACTGAAGCCCTGTGATTCTTGTCTCACTGGTTTAAGCAGTGACTTTATTTATGCCTTTAATTTTCTACTTAGCAAATAATTGTTGCCTTACATTGTGTCTTAGATTCTCGTTGGATATGGATCTCTAATTCCTGTTGACAGAGCTCATGACGTCATACTTTGAGCTGAGCCCTGTTCCAAGCAAGATAAGCTTCCAGGCAGGAGCTTCTCACCCTCTTGCGTCTCTCTGCTGCACGGGTTTCTGCACTGTCCAGGTGTTCGATGATCTTCTCTATCTTTGTTCTTGGAACACCAGTCAGCTACTA